TTAACTCTTAATTAAGATTATTACCACTGGGATTATTTATCCCTTTTGAGACTTGACAGATACTTCAGAGTCATTATGTGTTATATCCTTAGAACTGTTTGGCTGACTGGTCTGCAATTGAACAATTAATTCTTGCCGATCTAGTCTGATTTCCTCCAGACCGTACTCTGGAGGTTTTGGCAAACACACCCTTTGCTTTAAATAGGTTGATCAACTCCCTGGCTTACACCCTTTAATTTATTCAAAGCCTTACTTTTACAAGACTTTTTTTTCTTCCAATTCCCGAAATGTTGATTAATTAAAACATTCATTTCCATTCCATCTACACAATTCTCCAGCGATCTCCTTCACAGTCTTTAAACCAAAATTTGTACCAATCAAATCTACTCTCTAAAGCATCTAAATATAACTTTAATCCATTAGGGTTCAGGTTCTTTGATTCATTAAATAAATGCCTTCGTCACATGGTCTTATAGCCTGTAATGATGCTTTCATTACTCTAAAATTCACGGACTTGTCAGCCACATTAACTCCATCAGATCCAGTCATGGTAGAAAATTATTAATCACTGATTATACAACTTAAGTAGGCCCCTTTTAAAAGAGTAATTCTTGCACTTTACTTTTGTATAAATCCTACCCAAACACATGTGCTAGCAATTAATTGGGCTAATTATCATCCACCACACGATCGATTAAACTTGTGTACCCTATACCCACTTCCTTCAATCAGTCACTTAATTATTAAGTAATTAATTCAATTAATTTTTTCACTGATTGCATCCGGTTCAGGAAGGACCAGCGGGCAGATGTGGAAAATTTTATAGGGTGATTACCTTTATGTACCTCAACATTACATGCTTACATGTAAACTCATTGGGAGACAACCATATTGTTTACCGTAGTCACCCCGTGTAGACATGTGAGAAAACTTAACCACCCCTGGTCACGGCAAGTTTACCTGGAGTTTACCTGGAGAGAGTTTCGGGGGTCAACGCCCCCGCGGCCCGGTCTGTGACCAGGCCTCCTGGTGGATCAGCCCCTGATCAACCAGGCTGTTGCTGCTGGCTGCACGCAAACCAACGTACGAGCCACAGCCCGGCTGATCAGGAACTGACTTTAGGTGCTTGTCTAGCGCCAGCTTGAAGACTGCCAGGGGTCTGTTGGTAATCCCCCTTATGTGTGCTGGGAGGCAGTTGAACAGTCTCGGGCCCCTGACACTTATTGTATGGTCTCTTAACGTGCTAGTGACACCCCTGCTTTTCATTGGGGGGATGGTGGGATCGTCTGCCAAGTCTTTTTTGCTTTCGTAGTGAGTGATTTTCTGTGCAAGTTCGGTACTAGTCCTCTAGGATTTTCCAGGTGTATATAATCATGTATCTCTCCCTCCTGGTTCCAGGGAATACAGGTTTAGAAACCTCAAGCGCTCCCCGTAATTGAGGTGTTTTTCTCCGTTATGCGCGCCGTAAAAGTTCTCTGTACTTTTTCTGGGTCGGCAATTTCCCTCCCTTGAAAGGTCTGTTAGAGTGCAGCAATTTTCCAGCCTAAAAGAAAAAGTGACCTGAAAGTGTCATCGGGGCTTGGCCCCCCTGTTTTGAAGGTTCTCTTTATCCATCCAATTGGTTTCCTTCGACCCAAATCTTTTCCATACTATCCGAGACCATATGGTTTGGGTTTGCCCCACAAGTACGGTGCCCCAAATTTAATTGTGGACTGAAACCCGGGAGTTTACCTGGAAGATTTTTGGGGGTTTTCCCCCGGGGCCCGGGTCTGGACCGGGCCTCCGGGTGGATCAGAACCAAAATAACAGGCTGTTGTGGGGGCTGCACCAAACCAAGTACGAGCAACCCGGCTGATCAGGATGACTTTTTGGGGCTTTCCAGTGCCCGCTTGAAAACGCCCGGGGGCTTTGGTAATCCCCCTTTGTGTGCTGGGGGGGCGTTGAACAGTCTCGGGCCCCTGAACTTATTTATGGTCTCTTAACGGCTAGTGACACCCCCCTTTTCATTGGGGGGGTGGTGCTCGTCTGCCAAGTCTTTTTTTCTAGTGAGTGATTTTGTGTGCTTCGGTACTAGTCCCTCTAGGGTTTCCCGGGGTATATAATCATGTATCTCTCCCCCTGCGTTCAGGGGTACAGGTTTGAAACCTCAAGCCTCCCCGTAAAATTTAGGTTTTTTTATCTCCCCTTATCGCGCCCTGAAAATTCTTGTACATTTTCAGGTCGGCAATTTCACCGCCTTGAAAGTGCTGTTAGGTGCAGCAATTTCCACCCAAAAAGAACAAGTACCTGAAGAGTGTCATCTCTTGGCCTCCCCAGTTTTGAAAGGGTTTTCATTTTCCATCCTGGTTTTTTTCCCCCACAATCTTTATTACCAAAGTATGGTTGGATAACCCCAATAATCCTAATTTTGGGGCGTTTGGGTTTCCCAAATTTGGCAATTTGGGGTTTTTAAACCCCTTGGGTGTTAAAGTTTTTTCTCAGAAAACCCAACGTAAAGGAAACCATCGGAACTCTTTGGGGTTTGCCCGCCCCTTTAAAGATTTGTTGTTCCCCCTTTGGTGCTGGGGGGGTGAAAGCCGGGCCCCCCAATTGTTGGGCTTTCTGCAGGACACCCGCTTTTCTTGGGGGGCTCTTGAAGTCGTTTGAGGTGACGGGGGCGGCACCCCAGGATTTTGGGAATTAAAGTACCTTCCCCTGGTGGAATAAGTTTTCAACGTATAATATTTTTACTGTTTAGGGGGAAAGTTCTCTGTACATTTTCTAGGTCGGCAATTTCACCTGCCTTGAAAGGTGCTGTTAGAGTGCAGCAATATTCCAGCCTAGATAGAACAAGTGACCTGAAGAGTGTCATCATGGGCTTGGCCTCCCTAGTTTTGAAGGTTCTCATTATCCATCCAAGTGGTTCCTTCGACCTCACAATCTTATCCATATCTATCCGAGACCAGTATGGATTGGATAGCACCCACAAGTACGGTGCTACTAATTAATTGTGGACTGTATAGATTATATTAGTTTAACTGAATGAAGGGGGGGGGGTAGGTTACACATGGATATATCCATCAAGGAAAAACACTTGTACATAATCTCACCACTTACCAGATATTCTCTGGTGGTCACTTGATGTAGCTGGATCACTCATAACCTATCCAATTACAACATACCTAACTGGCCAGTATCAGTCTGCTATAACTAGAAGGGTTACTTAACGGTGGGTGATTGATACTCCTTATTTCCTCCATTCACCATCTCATTTCGATGTCCTGCTACACCGACACGGTTCTTATTCCAGCAGGACGAGGTATCCGTCGGTTTGTCCCGGTTTAGAAGTTGTGACTCAATAAGCTTCAATTTCCTCGGGACAAGAACAACGAGGTAAACATGTGCACACACACTCTGAGAATGGCAGTTCATATCGCTTCAATGATTCCTTAACTTAGTGTTATTATCACTGATTACATTACGATTTACAAGACGGTTTAATGTCTCATAATTATTATACACATTGGAGGCCACTCCATTAAGATCTGAGACCGATGAGTGATGATTAAACCAAGGGTAATTTTCCCCGGGACACAGTCCATGGCGACGCGCCAGTCACTCGGTCCTACACTTATTCACTCATTTTACCACTCTATTAGGGTGGTCCCGTAAATCACGTTCCCTCACTCTCCACCAGGAACAGTTACGACACTTCCTATTATGAAATGAGGCCTATATTAATCCTTAGGCTGCCGTGAACGCCAATTTCCTGGTTCCATGCTTTCCCAGCCTCCTCACTACATTCAAAACACTCCCGCCTCCTCGTGCCCCAGCTCGACCTATACCCCCGCACATCCGCGCATGCGCAAAGGGAACTCTTGGTTCTATCCTATTGTCAAATACATTTTTGACTCATATCGACACATCAAACACCTATTAGGCGCTATAGCTTCTGAAAATTAAAATAATTTCCACAACTGGGAGCGCTTGAAGTTCCTGAACCTGTACTCCCTGGAACGCAGGCGGGAGAGATACATGATTATATACACCTGAAAAATCCTAGAGGGACTAGTACCGAACTTGCACACGAAAATCACTCACTACGAAAGCAAAAGACTTGGCAGACGATGCAACATCCCCCTAATGAAAAGCAGGGGTGTCACTAGCACGTTAAGAGACCATACAATAAGTGTCAGGGGCCCGAGACTGTTCAACTGCCTCCCAGCATACATAAGGGGGATTACCAACAGACCCCTGGCAGTCTTCAAGCTGGCACTGGACAAGTACCTAAAGTCGGTTCCTGACTAGCCGGGCTGTGGCTAGTACGTTGGTTTGCGTGCAGCCAGCAGCAACAGCTTGGTTGATCAGGCTCTGATCCACCAGGAGGCCTGGTCACAGACCGGGCCGCGGGGGCGTTGACCCCCGGAACTCTCTCCAGGTAAACTCCAGGTATACACCAGTTCACCAAAAAAACATGGTAAAGATGGCAATAAATCCAATTATAAGAAGCAATCAGTCCAAATAAATCGTTGAAACCCACCTGCAGTTTACTTAGCATTTTCTGAACACTGGAATTACAAGATTGTTTTAACATCTTAATTTGAAGAATATTATAATAAATTTTAGCATGTCAAGTTAATTACTTTTATGATACGCATTGAACAACAACAAAAAAAGAATAATACAACAGTAATAACAAAAACGACAATAATAACAATAAAAAATATCAGTAATAACAACAAGAAAAATACAACAATAAAAAACAAAAACAGCAACAATAGTAACAACAAAAACAAAAACGACAACAACAATAATAACACAAACAACAACACTCATCAGCTGACTCAATAAAACAACTTGTGGTTTAAATTGCACAAATAATGAGAAGCTGTGAAAATAAATAGTAACTTTAACTAGATGAGTAAGGTAAGAAATACGTGTAAATATAAATGTCAGATTAAATAGGTGTGGCTTTGTGATCCCGTGGGAACTGTGTCTAGTGTTTACACTGAGCAGTGGACCAGTGTGGTGGACCAGTGTGGTGGACCAGTGTGTGGACCAGTGTGGTGGACCAGTGTGGTGGACCAGTGTGGTGGACCATTGGGGTGGACCAGTGTGTGGACCAGTGTGGTGGACCATTGGGGTGGACCAGTGTGTGGACCAGTGTGGTGGACCAGTGTGGTGGACCAGTGGAAGGTCTCTCACACAGCTCCACATCTCTGCTCATGGCTGACACATTTCCACATCTCTACCAACACCTGACACATCTGACCCACCTCCCTGCCCCACAGCTGACACATTTCGCCCCTGCCCCACAGCTGACACATTTCGCCCCTGTCCCTGCTCCACAGCTGACACATCTCGCCCACGTCCCTGTTCCAAAGCTGACACATCTCAGCATCCCTGCTGCACAGCTGACACATCTCACCCACATCTCTAACACACTAATGGAGGAGAACAAGGCAACACAGTGACGAGGTAAAAGAGATTATTATTTGTCTGAGTTGGGAAAAATGTGACACAAGTTCATTTAGATACTTATCTGGGTTAAGTTTTCACAATGCATTTATGTTGATAAGTAAAATACATTCAGTAGTTGGGTATCTTTATTGTTGAAACGTTTCATCTACGAGATAGGCTTCTTCGGTCAGACACAGAGAATGGATTGAAGGCAGCAGAAGTGACGAGGTAAAGATGATGTAATCAGTCATCAGCCTTGTAGAAATAGTTTGAGGTTGTCAGTCTCTCAACCTGGAGAAGAGTTCAGCTCCATGGAGCTGAACTCTTCTCATCATTTTTACCTGGAGAGAGTTCCTGGGGTTAATGCCTCCGCGGCTCGGTCTGTGACCAGGCCTCATGGTGGATCAGAGCCTGATCAACCAGGCTGTTACTGCTGGCTTTTCATTGGGGGGATGTTGCATCGTCTTGACTACATAAAGTAAAGTTTTATGTAGTCATGACTTGATACAGCTCTACATCAGAGTGAAACACTGACAAAACTGTACCTTTGGTCTGCATGCTTGTGTCTTTTTTATATAGAGTACCTGTTATTATCATATCTTACAACTAAGTGTGATTTACATATTCATGACAGTGGCCTTGCAAAACAAGTCCTAAAAGTAATTTATTTTACAGGTACAACATGGGAGACAACAGTCATTCTTGCCGTGGCTTTGAGACACCAACTCTAGGAAGCGATCTCTGGCCAATGGGATTCGATGTTGACCTTGCCTTGGATGGCCCAGGGGCTCGAAAAGGCCATGGCAGCAGTTTGGGCTCCAGTGGTCTTGGGAGTGGGGGATTAAACTCCCTCCAATCAACAGGAAATTCCTCAGTCAGCGGAGGGTACAATGATATTCATCATCTCCCCGGCTTGTCTTCAATCTTGCACAGATTTGATGATTTACATGCTGGGGATATATTCCAAATGACAGACCTTACTAATTCTTTACCTAAAGGAGACAGTGAGACTGCTCAGAGTCTTTTGGCCAAGTTAGCATGTCAAGATTTAGAACCTGAATTGTCATCTGGAGCAGATCCAAGTCATAAAGAATTAGAAACTTCCTTATTTGACCAAGCTGCAAGTGGCATGGCTCATGGTCCAGGAAATAGCAGTCAGGGTGTTGTTTCGTCTCATAAAACACCCTTAGAATCAGCTGAAGTGTATGGGAGAATGACCTGTTACAGCGGAAAACTTGTTCTTCAGCTCCGGCACATAAACTTTAACACCAACTATACCTTAAATGTGAGTGAATGTTGGTTATGTGGAGAGAAAGTGAATACAGGATCACAGTTGTGTACCCATAAACACTCGTTAAATGGACTGTTTCAGGTTAATGATGAGTTTGTACAGATGGACATAGATCATTATATAATTCCAGAACAAGCTCTAGATCCTCCTGATACTCATGACATGACAGATAGTGTTCCTCAACATTCTGAATCAGGTTTGCACCATGATCTTGGTACTTCACGAGATTTAGAGTTGCCGGAAAATCTAGCAGGCGGTGGAGATGGCTTCAACATGAGCGCAGGGGGCCCTGCTTTACATTATTCAGCAGGTTCAGACACAGGATTAGTGCCTCCTTTGAGTGCTGCTTCTAATCTCATGAGTCAAGCTATCCCTGCTAGCCACAATTCCTGTTTAAACTCATCATTTGGACAGCTGCCCCTCCCAGGAATGCCCATAACAAGCAATCACATTGGAATAAATTCAAACATGCCTGTTATGGCTATTCCAGGAAATGTCACACAAACAACACAGCCAGTGTGCTCAGTCAGTACTCCAGTGTTTGGTATAAATCATGCAGATCCTTCATCAACGAGTGCGATATTAACATCCCCTCAGAGTGCAAGAAAAATATCGATGCAAAGCAGCCAAGCTTCTGTGGTTAATGGTTACTCTATGGGAAATGGACTGAATAATTTCAGTATAAATAACCAAATAGGTAATGGACCACTTCATAACCAGCCTGTGCATCGTGATCTTGTAAATCGAAATAAGCATCAACTACAGTATCACCTGCCTTTTTCAAGTGGAGGAGAATATTCTTGCCATGCATCAGCAAGTATTGATACTATGGTGGAGAAGCATAGTGAGGTGCCATGTTTAACACCTTTGCACACAGTGTCCACAAACTTTGATTCACGTCTACACAGAACTGACCTGGCTCCTAGAAAAACTGAAATAGGTGCAAAGAAAAGGAAAAGCAGAGCTCGGAGAAAGCCAAGTGTCATTCAGATGCGTGAATACAAAACTGATGTACCACAAAATGCTAATGGAAAATTCTTGAAAGCTGAACCTCTTGACAGTTTGCCATTGAAAAATTATAATGCGGGGACAATGGAAGGTGTGCATGTCAAAAATGAGCATGTTGAAAACAGGCAAGCATCAAGACCTGATGCTAGTATTGAAGACTGGATTAAACATAATCTTCCAGAGGGGGATCTAATAGTGACTGATAATAAGGCAAGATCTGGTGATAGCCACTACAAATCAACTTTAGACTTGAAACATGGAAATAAATCATCTTGTGAAGTTATTGAAAAATCCACGAAACAATATGCATATCATCAGAAGCCACGTGAGCCTGATCAAACATCTCGGTTAGCAGCCCACATGTTAAGCAAGGGGTTAGATCTCTCATGTCGCTTGTGCCCAAAGGATTTTGGGAAAGATATTAGAAATTACAAAATACATATGAAGGAACATGGTTTAGATGAAGTAGCATTCTTTGCTTGCTCCTTTTGTACAAAAACATTTGCAAAAGGCAAACACTATACTCAGCATCTTAAGACACACGTGAGGACACGACGATTTTCTTGTCAGCTATGTAGTGCAAGTTACAGTCGTGAGGCTAGGCTTCGTAGACATATATTAAGTCATAGTCGAGAACATCAGGAAAAAAAACACAAGTGTTCAAAGTGCCCAAAATCGTTCACTACAAAAGAATATCTTCAAGCTCACCTAAAAGTTCATGGTGGTAAAAAATATAAATGTGAAACCTGTGGGTTCCTGTGTTCCTCACTGTTTAATTTAGATACTCACAAGAAGAAACATTTAGGTGATAAACCATTCAAATGTGAATTGTGTGAGAAAACTTTTGTTAGACGAGATTTCTTGGATAGTCATATGGAGCAGGTACATAAGAATAATAAAAGTAAATGTGAAGTGTGTGGTAAACTATTCTCTAGAAAAGATGTCTTGAAGAGACACCTTGCTGTACATAACAATGAAACTTATGATTGCGAGGTGTGTGCAAAGAAATTTTCTCGTAAAGATAGACTTGCTTCTCATAAAAAATTACATAAGCTAACCTCAGATTATAAATGTTCTCTTTGTCCTGTATCGTTCACAAGAAAAAATGTTCTAGATAAACATGAGAGAGTACATAAAACTAAAGAACAGTGTAAAATTTGTTACAAATTCCTCTCCAAACAAAGATTAGAGTGTCATATGAAACTTCATGAGAAAAATGGCTCAAAACTTGATGGTGAAGGCATGATAAAATGTGATATATGTGATAAATCTTTTACGAGTAAACATATCTTGCGAAAGCACTTGAGAAAAATACATGGAAAACTCCCTGAGGGCAAAAAGAAAATTGAAGCCGTGGAACGAGAGAAAAGGTTTGTATGTCACGTGTGTTCCAAGGGGTTTACTCGTAGTTGCAATCTCAGCACTCATCTGTTGAAAGCACACAGCAAAGACTTGGAAGAAGATGAATTTGATGATCTTTCTTCTGTGCTCCAATCTCCAAAGCTAGGGAGTAGTAGCACAGGTGGAGATACAAGCTGCAACCCTTCCTCCTCGTCTGTGTGTACCTTTACGACATCTCATCAAAGTTTTTCAACAACCGTGTCAATGCACAGCACAGTAACAACATCAGGGCTTCCGGGGCTAAATCAAGGTATGGGTAACCCTTCTAGCATTCTTCCATTCCCAGTTACTGCACCAGCGTCATCGCCAACACAGCCTCCACCACTGCCTTTGTCATCCTCTCATTTTCCTTCAACTGGTCCTCCTGACTCTCCTATCAACTTGTCTACCGATGCCATCACTGCAGCAGCATATCTCTTGGCTTATCCACCGTACCCAGGTCCTTATTAAGCCTTCATCATACTTTCATTATAATCATTATAATTTTGTCCACTTGTTTTTATTTATCCATTTTTTTTTTAATGTACTGGCTGTTGCCCACTGAGGCAGGGTGACCTAACAAGAAAAACATGTTTTTCTTTTTACATTTAGTAATTTTATTTGTTCATATTATACATAAATATTGTTTGTGATAAGTACCAAAGAACGGCAACAAAATCTGGTGAATCTTACAGCTAATCTGTAAAATGGATTTTCCTTTGTTATAAGTGACTATAGAAGACTTGTAAATGGTAGGGTGATACCAATAGGCTATGGATAAATACATTTATGTACTGTAAAGAGCATTTATTAAAGGAAATTACTCCCATTCCCACATCCCTCTCATATATATTTTGGCTCCCTTTCCTCTGTGCATCTGTGTTAATAGTTAACCCTTTCAGGGTTTCGGCCATACTAGTAGGGCTTACGCACCAGTGTCCATGACGTACTAGTACGCATAAATTCTAGCGCCTTCAAATCTAGTGAGAAAAAGCTGGTAGGCCTACATATGAAAGAATGGGTCTATGTGGTCAGTGTGTGCAGTACATAAAAAATCCTGCAGCACACAGTGCATAATGAGGAAAAAAAAACTTTGACCGTGTTTTTGGATTAAAACAGTGACTTCGCACTATATTTTCGTATGGTATTTATTGTTGTATTTTAGTTTTCCTGGTCTCGTTGTATAGAATGGAAGACATATTACAGAAATTGAGATGATTTTGACTGGTTTTACAATGAAAAGTACCTTGAAATTGAGCTCAAAGTAGCAGAAATATTTGATTTTTACCAAAGTTCAAAAGTAAACAAATCATGCTAAGCATCCAATACACGTCAACTGGTGAGTCTAATATTCTTTTACAAGTGCGCCGATATTATTTATACCATTTCTACACTAATGCAGTAGTCTGCATAACAGTAAATCTTATTTTTTTTTGTGAGAATAAAAATTCAAAGTGGAAAGCAAAAGAAATGTAAGAGGGGCCTGGGGACATGACTAATGAACAGAGGAAATGTTATTTTAGTGTCAGGAATTTATTTCTTGTTTATTCTGGACCCTATTTGGAAATTGGCATCTTTTGAAAATTGTGTGAAATTGGCAAAATTGCTAAATTTTGACCACTGTATTGGATAGTTGAAATCGGTAAATTGGTGGTTTATTGTACTCATTTGATAGAAAAATATGGAGTTCTAGCGAAATAGTTATGATATTTGTCGACTAGTACATGGGAATTGGCCGAAAATAGGGCTCAAAGTGGGCAAAATCGCCGATGCGTAAACATCGTCGAGACCGCTAACTTCAAGAGAGCATAATTCCGTAGGTTTTCCATCAAATTTCATACTTTTGGTGTCATTATGATCGGGAAAAGATTCTTTATCTTTTCATAAGAAAAAATAATTTTTTTTTTGAAATTTGGGGGACCCTGAGAACAAGTCCTGAGAGGGCCTGTGGACCCTGAAAGGGTTAATGGTCCAATTTGGACTGAAACATTATCAGATTCAATATCTTACATGTGGGTTATTTGTCATAGTATTGTGCCTTTTTATTCTTGTAAAGGAAACTTTTTTGCCTCAAGTTGCTTATTAGTCATAATTAGGACTGAAAAACATTATCTGTAGCAAAATGTTTTTTTAACCCTTAAACTGTCAAAACGTAGCTCTACGTTTGCTCGCGTAGCACTCTGAACGTAGATCTACTTTTTTAAATTCTTTCTTATGGAGAAAATCAAGGGTGGAGCGCTACGCGTGCAAACGTAGATCTACGTTTGGATAGAGGCTAAATAAATGTCCTTAATTGTACATAAGTGTCTTTATTCAAGATTATACAATCATTTACAATATCTCTATTATTAGTGCAGTACTTATGTACACTTTATAAAATAATTGAAACTTACTTTTTTTATCACTGATAACACCTGAGTTATCTAAAGTACCACTTGTACGTATTACTGTACTAGTTTAATTTAAAATGCTATTGCTTTACAAATTGTATTAAAAAAGATTGAGAAATTAAAGGTGAATATTCGTATATTACAGGGGTCATGCACTGCTCAAATTTGCAAACCTTTAGTCCAATGAAATGTCATATACCATTGGAAAATATACAGCAGTATATGTATTTATTTATTGATAAAAAATCAGTGTGATTTATGTTGTACTAAATCAGCAGGCAATTTCTAGTTTCTTTATTCAGATAATTTGTTATAAATGCAGCTGTTAATATATATTTGTGTTGCACTGCTCCCCATTTGTATTTGACTAAGGAGAGTCCAATATTTGTGAGTGCTAATATTGTAGTTTCATTGAAAAGATCTTCAAATATGAGTACTGTATTGTATATGCTGGTGAATTCTTTATTTTGCTACAGATGCTCTGCATTAAAGAGGCTAAATTTATTATTACTAAATTAATAAAATGAACAACAAATTTAACAAAATATTTGTACTTGAAATTCAAGGCAACTTATGAAATGTACTTTAAGTACAGTAATGAATTGTAATTAGTCATTATAGGGCATGACACTTAGAAATAAACAGTATTGCACATTTGCTTAGCCTTTGGCAAGGATTATTTTTATTTTGGTACAGGTCCCTATATAGTAAAAGAATTTAGTCATGCCCTCTGTACTTTACTTTTAGAGCTGCTAAAGAATTTCCTGAAAGTGCTGTGATTAAAAGTTGCCTACTCTTAATGGGTTATTGAGAGGTTTGTTTGTTATATGGCATGACACAGGCTGTCTTTGGTAATTTGAATTATAATCTTTACATTTGTCGGGGAGTGCAACACCTGAGGGGATTGGAGGCATTCATATTCAATCCAGGGAAGGGGAGCACTACACCAATTCCTTAGATTAATGTACCTCCTTGAGGGGGCACTAATACAGCATGTTGACACAGTCATGTTAACAGAGTCCTGATTTTCAAAAATAAAGCCAAATATGTAATGTTTCAATGCAGTTGCCACTGGTCATTATTGTTGCATTATATTGTATGTACCAAGAATGAGAGCAGAGTATTGTACAGTATTTATTTAGCATAAGATGACTTAACTCTTATATTGCTATCTGTATCTGTATAGTAAACCTTAGACAGATAGGCACTGATGGTACACTTAAATTATGTTATTTTTATTATATTTATATGAAGTGCTAAATGCATTTGGGCCATTCAACTGGTGGAGGCTTGATTCTCCAGTCACCAAGAGTGAGACAGAGAGAACTTTTGCAGCCAGGCTTACTGCATATAGGAAGGAATTAGACTGCCAAATAATGTACATGTATATTTTAATTTGTTGAGGTAGGTTCATTTCCTTTGATAAGCATTGGAGAGCCATGTAGTGTGTTATAGGATTTACACCAACTGATTTATTAACATTTTGGTACAATTAACTTTTGTTTACTTGAACTATTACTTTTCCCATGTCAGACAAAACAGTGTTTTGATAGTTGGTAGGATTAGTTACAATGCATTTAATCAACCAAAAAATGGTAAAGTAAAATTCTTTATATACTGTACTTCTTCACTATGTGAGTTCAGTGACCATGACTTCAGTGATTCTTGAGTTATGTTTGATAACACTGCTTAATATCCACTGCTAGGCTCCCAGATTCACAAGTCCCAGATGGTATTATTGATGTGCCAGGTTCCCAGAACCACAAGATCATGGAAAGATATTATGCTGTGAACTTTGATTATTATAATCAAAACTAAGTGCAAAATCCACCAGGGTCATACAGTGCTGTGCAAACTTTGAGAATGGCTCCCAGTGTGCATGTTGCTTTCATGTTACATGTCATTTAGATGACCAGTTTGTATTAAAACTTATTAAAAATTGTGCAAACGTTTTTTGACTAACAGTGTCTAAGTAAAAAGGGTTTTTGCTCCATTAGTGCATTTTCCACTGAAATGCGAGGTCAGCATTGTGCCTGTTAACCATTTATCCATGTGCACCTTGTTGAACACCTGCCTTAGTTAATTTAGCCAATTTTTAATATAATTGTGAATCATGAGTTAGCACAATATATATACGCACTAACTCTTCAAAGAATGATGAATGAATTTGTTAAAATTTTGAGTGCATAATAGGAAGTTGGGGGAACATTTAGATTCAGTATGATGTTACTAGTGCATAATGATGATTAGACTATTTTTTACATTATTTGCTTTATGTACAACAAATTATGAATAAATAAGTTTTAAAAATGTCTCTGAAAATATTTCAGAAATGTAAAAAAAATTATGCAAAGGTTTAATAATTTTTTTTTATAAATATTTTATCTTATTGCAAAAGTGATAAATTTAATATATTATAAAAGTGATGAAAAATTTAATTACCTCAAATATGGATACTCTAGAAAGATTATAAGAATACTGCTTGAATAAACTATTCTTAGGGATATTATGCACTCGTACACAAGTACAAAGAAAGAGGTATAATAACTGGAAAGTTTTATACTGTACAATTGTGATCTTTCAGTAGAATGAATTTAGCAACCTAGGGTCATTCCCAGAATTGAAAAATTAGGGGTAACATTTGGCCTCGTAAAGTGCTAAAGTTGCCAAGTATTAAATCAAAGACATCGACTGAGCATGCAGTTATTGAAATGGTGTTTCACTTAGTGTGAGCTTTATCACACTAAGTGAAAACAGCGTGTTCTGTCTACATCCTTGATTTACTACACATCAGCTTCATACTTGCCAAGTACAGTAAAGCCTTGATTTAATGGACTGATAGGGGGATTATCTGAGTATTTGTGTAATCTGAATGTTAACAAGTGAAAAAACCACTGTAGTGCTCTATATATATAATACAGTAATGTACACAAAACTTAAGATATGCTGTAATGAACATTGAAAATAAAGCAGATTTTGTCTGATTTTCAGAGGTCTGTTAAATTGAGGATTTACCATTTAAGACTATGATCTCAGACTGTACAATATATGATTTACTAAATTTACACTAAGGCATCCCTCATGAAAGAAACAAAAAAAGTTTGTGGTTAGGGTTTTTGGACAACATACATTTGACCACAAAAAAATTGTGTAAAATTTTTGTTTTAAAAGACAGACTTGCCTAGCCTAAATATTATAGAGTATGTGTGCATTGATGTATGCACAGTACCATGGTTTGAACTTACTTGGGCAACTGATATTACCACGTCCTGTGTTGCTGGACGTCAACAAAGTATACTGTAGACGAGTAAAATATTTTTATAACCAACTTACTCTTTATTTTCAGTATTAATAAGAAACATTTTGTTTTGGCCTAATGGGCTTTTGTAATTTAAAGTTAAAATTTAAAGGTTTAGATGAAATTGATCCTATCATTGTTAATTTGTAAATACCAAAATATATAGTTTATTATAAATGTAATATTTCGGATTTTTTGTAAGTATACATTGCATTACAAATATCATTAAAGAAATTATTTGTTTATTTGTAGTTTCACACGACTGCAGCCTATTACTTTAATGAGAATATAAAACATGATCAGAGTATAAACAAATCAAGCATTAAATTAAAAAAGATTGTGAATTCTTTGAAATGCATTAAAAAGATGAACGCAAGATGTTTTTCTAATGGAATCTAGGAAATTTTAATTATTCATTCATGGGGGAGCACTAAACCCATAAGGGTCATAGTGTCAATAGTAATGGGTGGCATTCTGATTTGATCTGAGGGAGGGCAGGTCCAATTCCTCAGATCAAGAGTCCCTTACTGGCATCAAGGAACCTCCCTTGAGAGGGGTGTAATAATAATGTAGTACAGTACAGCAAGTCCTGGAAGTAGCAGACTGATACTGATAACGACAGCATTATTAATATAATCAAGGGGGGAAGCGCTAAACCCGTAGGATTATACAGCACTTGGGGGAGGGGGGAATGGATGGTATTCAGTCTTAATTCATGGAAGTGGAACACAGATCCAGTTCCCTAGATCAAGAGCCCCTCACCAGCATCAAGGAACCTCCCTTGAAGGGAATGATGAGAGCAGGTGGCAATACTGTGGTGGAAAGAATGAAGATTGTTTTTCCGTGATTATTAACAATAAGACCATTCCGTAACCAACAAATTTTATTTCTGAACAAATTGACCCAACACATTTTGTCCTGTATTTCCAAAATTCATTGACAAAGAGTTTACTGTATTTATATTCATGGGGAAGTGCTAAACCCATAAGGGTCATACATAGCCCAAGAAATAGAAGCGAGAGGTAATTAGGCTTGAATCAAGAAAGGGAAGGATAGCTCTGATTTCTTGGATCAAGAGCACAGCATCAAGGGTAAGCACTAAACATGTATGAATCATATGCCTGGAGAATGGGAGGTAATCAGGGTCAATTCAAGGAAGGGAAGCATTAATCCATTTCTTGGATCAAGAGCTTGGTAACATCATGGCACCTCCCTTTAGGGAAGTTATCTAGGACAAGGGCTTCCTACAGTCTTTCTCCCTATAATTAGGGTGTTGCAGAGGTCAACAGTGAATTATCTGTGCTCTCAATCAGGACAGACAATGCATCAACCCCTCCAAAACTATATGCTTACAACTAAATCCCATTTCACCAAATATTTCTTTTCCCACCTACATCTTCCCTATGGCACAACAATATGCCCCATCTCTTCATTACCAATACACTCTAGCCCACCTGTTAGTAATTACATATACCTCCTGCTTACTGTCCCCCCTCATATACTCAATCTGCCTCTTTCTCTTACTGAAATATTACAATAAAAACTAAGTGGTAAACTAACGAGGGTCATTCAGCTCTCTTACCACAGCCACCACTAAATGATATATATCAGTTGCTTCTCTAAAACACATGCACATCCAGAAGTTTACCTTCATCCACCAATACATTGTCTAGCAAACTGCTGTCATTGCACATTTCATCAAACCTGATTACTTCCCAGTCCCCAGGTACTGTATGATCCCTATGGATTTAATGGGTCTACATTATAATATTCAATAAAAGCTTTAAAACATGATTCAGAAGCGAGACATGTTCGTTGAGGAAAACACATGGGCAGTACAGAATTATCATTATATTCATGTTAAGCATTAAGCCTAAGAGGAACATGCAGTTCTGCATGATGGAGGGTATTACAGTGGAACCTTGGTTTTAGTATGCCCTAGTTTGTATGTAAAGCTACGTATAGTTATTCTCTATAAAATGTATTTTTTGCTAATATTTCCCAAAAGAAATGTAAATTCAACTAATCCATTCCAGACACCCAAAAATATTAACAAAAAATACATTTTATAGAGAATAACTATAGTTTTACATACAAACTAGGGCATACAAAAACCAAGATTCCACTGTATTATTACGTACATTCAAGGTGGAGCATTAAGTCTGTAGGGGTTATATTCAGCGTAGTGGAATGAAAGGTAATCAGACTGAATCCCTGAATCCATAGAAGGGAAGGCCAGGTTCAATTTCTTGGATCAAGAGCCTCTCACAGGCATCAACAAACCTCTTGTGCAGGTCCAGTCACATTATGGGAAAGTGCTAAACCCACAAGGGAATAGGAGGCATATGGGTTTGATCCAAGGAAATGGCAGGTCAAATTTCTTGGACCAAGAGCTCCTCACTGTTATTAGTTTTTTAATTTTAATGAAGGGGAGGTGCCAAACAAGCACTTTCCTTGAGGGGAGATCATGTTTGCAAACATGCACTCAGCTCACCAGTGTCACTTCAGCTCCAGGGTCAAACTCCACTTCTAAGTGGAAAAGAGAGCACTGTACATGATTCTTCATGCATGGCATGTACATGCACATATGTTCAGCACAAGGATAGTCTCCAGAGCAGTATCCATCCAGCCATGGAGAGCTTCAACCAGAGTGGCAAATGATCAACCAAGACTGATTTTCCTATCATGAAAAGTCTACCCGCAGGAAATAATCTCTCAGATTACGCGAAAGGCAATTCTCTCAAATATTTTTAATACTATATTGACATCATGATATTCTTACTGACAATGTTTATCAACGTTCAGAAATAGAAATACATGTACTGCATTTCCTTTGTTTTCTAATCATAGTTATCATTAGTATATAAATTATTCAACTTCATAAATACAGTGGACCCCCGGTTAACGATATTTTTTCACTCCAGAAGTATGTTCAGGTGCCAGTACTGACCGAATTTGTTCCCATAAGGAATATTGTGAAGTAGATTAGTCCATTTCAGACCCCCAAACATACACGTACAAACGCACTTGAATAAATACACTTACATAATTGGTCGCATTCGGAGGTGATCGTTATGCGGGGGTCCACTGTATTGGTGAGGAAATAATATTCTTGAGTATGAAATTCTGAAGGAAAGCTCTGGAATAATATAACAACTTTACTTACAGAAAATACAGTAGAAATAATTTTTTTTTTTCAACACGTTGGTTGTCTCCCACAAAGTCTATAGAATACCTTTTACATGTAACTTTAATACAAATACTCAAATCTGCAGTTTATGTAATAGAGTAAATAAGAATTTTGTACTTAATTTTCTCAGTAAGAAAATTAGTATATTAGTACAGTATAATGTAAACAGTGCAACACATTTAGTGACATTAACCTGTAAACAGTCCAAGCAGATCTATGTTCACATGCGTAGTGCTCCAAAAGTAGATCTATGTATTTTTTTACATATTTTCAAATATAACAAAAAAAAAAAAGTAGATCAAAGTTTTTTTACATGTTTTCAGATGTAAAAAAAAAAAAGGATCTACCTTTTTTTACATATTTTCAAATGTTGAAAAAACGTATGTATACGTTTGGACTGTTTACGGGTTAAGGACAGTGGGCTCCTCAGTTCAATATCCAATGGCTGGATGCTGGCATACTATCAAGGCCAGAGCTGCTTATAGCTGGATTTTTGAGGTGTGCAAGTTGTGATGTTTCAATGCTAAGCAAATAAAATGAAGAAAGTAACCTTAGGAAAATTTCCATATTTTGTTTCCAGTGAGAGACCCTTCCTTGTAATGGTGACCTCTAGGCATTTCCAGTACACATCTAAAAGCTCAAGTGTTTTGCAGTTATAATCAAAGAAAGCGCTAAACCGACAAGGGTCATACAGCACTGCGGGGCAGAAAATAATGTTGAGGCTATAAACAGCTAGGTGGAGAGGGGATCAGAGGTAAGGGGAGAAAAGGGCTTGAAGGGACGCTAAGGGCTATGTGTCAAAGTTCGTACAGTAAAGCAGTTGCTGACAAAAAGTCAAAAAGTGATTGTAAGTCAAAGGCAAGAAAAGAAGATAAGGTAAGAGTGTTAGGAGGCAGTGGGATTGGGGGTAAATCCTGTGAGCTCACTGATAAACCAGGCAATTGACAAGAAAGTGAAGAACCGAACAGGGACCCAACAAAAACCCCACAGCGAGGAAAAGGGGTGTCATTCCATGAGATACTCATGGGTTTAAAGGGGAGTATGGACCAATGCGGAGCCAGGAGAGTGCAGTCTCCCAAGTACGGCAACAGTGGCAAGAAGATGGCCATAAACCTAAAAGCGGTTTAATAGAGTGCAATATGTTATGGTGCATGCCCGCCCACCGTTGTTGCCAACGGCTGTGAAGACGGGCCGAGATGACTGAAAATAATCTCTGAACAGAATACCTCTATAGGAAACTGGAAGATCATGCACTGCTGACCATGCAGCAGCATCTGCTTGTTTATTGCCCTGCACATCAACATGTCCAAAAAACAATGTCTGTTTTTGCTAGCCACATGGTGCAACCATATTTGAATATGAAGGACTAATGGATGAGGGGAATGAAATTGTTTAATGGTTTGTAAAGCAGTGAGGGAATCCGAAGTGATCACAAACGTCGAAGGAGACACACATGTAATACGAAGAAGCGCTATGAGGATGGCATACAACTTGGAAGTAAAAATACTAGCCGAGTCTAACAAATGATCTCGGACAACATCGTCAGGGAATACTGCTGTAAACCCAACACCTACAGAAGATTTAGAACCGTCTGTATAAACAGCGATGGCATGAGCATGTGACCGGAAGTGATCAAGAAAGAGAGAGCGAGAAGCAGTCGTAGGCAGGAGAGCTTTGGCTCACGGTAGTAGGGGAGAACAGACACGAACCATCGGAACTTCCCAAGGGGAAAGGGAAAAGGTAGATGCTAAATGAGAATACAAGGGAGGCAACTGGAGAGAAGACCGAGTGAAGATGAAGAGAAAACGGTTGGAGTAGGCAGGGGCGCTGAATAAACAATGGGCTTCTACTAATGTCTGAGACCAACCTATATGTAGAAGAAACACGAGGATAAAGTAATGAAGACAATGAGCATCATGACGATCAGCTAAGGAAGGAACATTTGCCTCTGCAAAAGGGCTTTCAACAGGGGATGAATGAAGGCACCAAGGCACAAATGTAGACTTTGATGATGAAGGGGATCTAACTTAGAGTTGTAGGAGAAGTTGCAGAA